CCCTGCTGGGCTGTATCGGCTGGGGGAGACGCTAAAAACTTCCTCAAGGACAGCAACGTGGAGACCGCAACTCCAGCCATGAGTCCGGGAGTCTCTGCCAGATAAGGCTGACCAGCCTCCAAGAGATGCCAGAAGATTCCTAATGCATCTTCTGAGCAATATATATCCACCAGGAACGGTAGCATGGCGTGGAGGGTCATTTCGAATGGATAGTCTCTGAGCATAACAGGTCCGGCCACGCAAAGTAGCACCCTGATCTTCCGGATTACAGAACAGGCGTGGAAAGAACCAAGCGCGGGGTGAATTAATTCCAAGAGAGTTCGGCAAACATAAGAAGCTAGCGTAGGCGTCCAAATTGTCTCGAGTTCATATCCGCTGCGCTTACAGAGGAATTCTAACTCATCAATGAGATAGCGAGCCCTAAACGAGGGTTGCTGATTTGCAGGGAGAACAATTTTTGAAGCACTCTTACCGAGAATGCACCTTAGACCTTCGAGGGCATCGTGGAATTTCGCACGTTTTGAGAAGGCTCTTTCGACCTGTTCATATTGATCAAGCGACCCGAAGAAAGCTGCTATTGTCTGTGGAAATTGCTGATCAATCAATTCCACGAAATGTTCAGTCCCCAGCATCTTTTTCAGCCGGGTTTCAACACCTTTAGGCTGGCTACCTTGCCCAGGGGGAGTACTGATATCCCTAGCGATGCTATATGCCTCCGCTTTGTAGAAAGATGTGGCCAAAAGTTCAGCGAAAGGTTTTCCCATGTGTTTTGACATCTCCATCTCCTCGTCCTCACGCGCACGCATGATAATTTGACCAACAAGTTCGTCTTGCACGTCGCATAGCATATCTTTGATACTTGTATAGCCAAATATACTAAAAGGCATGGTTGTGATTGATTCCTGCTCAGTCCAGGTATAGAGGATCTGAGAAGAAAATAGCCGAAAGAGCTCTTTCGTATCTTTGAGTCCAAGCGTATTGGCGACGCCACATATGCACTTCTCAGCATACTGGAGTGAATGAGGTACATGTGCCGGGGTTTCGAACATATGGTAAATGCTTCTGCGGAGTAAGGTATGCCATCGTGAAGCTAATTGACCTAATATGAACAGACGGAGGGCGATGCCTTCTACCCAATCAGACTCTTTGGGAAGGTGACTCAGCACGTCGTTGAATATGGCATCATGATCGTTTAGTGAGTAATAGCCAAATAGCCGGGGAATTAGGTTCCCAACGTCAAATTTAACTGGTATGCTGCCTTTCCCTAAAATCTTTAGAAGGCTTGTTCGGGGGGATGTGCTCGATTCACCGCTGGAGTATGAGGCATTGGTATTGATGATCTCCACGAGGAGTTTACTGAACATAATGAGAACTGAAGGTGATGCCATGTCTTTCGCCAATAATACGTCTCTGAGCCATGTATAGATATCCGACGCCGAGTCACTGAGATTATCGGTTTCCGAGTTGACCCATGCCTTGATAAAGCTATGCATCATACGAATACAAAGGAGGTGAGAGGCTTCACAGCGCTCCAATTCATAAGTCTGTAGGCACTTTTCAGCCAGGTCTTCAAGGATGTGGAGCAACGAAGTCCGGTCCATTCCAGAAATTGCGCTGTAGACATGAGGTAAAAAGTTCCCAGCGGCTAAGATATCAACTTCGTCTAAATCAGTCAAGTACTCAACCAGAGCCCTAATGGAAGGTTGATCGTGGTTGCTTAAAATTGCGTGGTTTTTCTGTAAAACAGAGAGCTGAATGGTAATGCACCGCTGGAAGGAGGAAAACCCTTGAAATAAGGGTAGCGCTTCTCTATTGGACTTGATGATCGAGGTGACCTCCGCCAGCCGATCTTTTGAATTGAATAGAGTATCGTCCAAATCCATAGGCTCCCCGTTATGGGGAGCCAGATTCTCTCTTTGGCTTCTTCGATAGGCTTCTAAAAGGCTTGCTAATGGAAGGACAAGCCTGAGCAAAGCCTTTGAGACAGTTGATTCAGGATTGTAAGAGAACTGTTCAGGGTTAAGAAAAGGCGACAATACCACCAGACAGCCTTGAATGAATTCAAGTTCGTGAGAGGCCAGGAATGTGCATATGACCTCCCACAGGCGCTCGCTATTGTGCTGTAAGTTTTGGAATTTTGATGCAGATTGGGCCGGAAGACATTCCGTGCATAGAGCAACGAGAATACAGAATGACGTAACTATTTGCACGATGTCCACCGTTATATGATGTGATTTATCTTCATATAATGACTGAAAAGCTTGCAAGAACATTTCAGATTTGGCCTGCAAGAGATCCAGAACCATGTTGTCATTTGGATCTTGTCGTGGAAATGTCTCCAAATGGATAGTATCATCAGTATCCCACATATCAAAATCCAATATTCCTTTGAGCTGAAATAGGTAATTCAGCATTTTTTTGTTCCTGTGAAGAAGGTACCAGCCTTTGGCAATGAGACTCGTTGTCCCCCTGAACTGAGGTTTGGATGGGATATAATGCCTATTAGTGCAGGCTAAAAGTAGGTTTAAAAGGTCCAAGGGCCGGGCGAATGCAGCAAGTTGAGCTAGCTGTGTTCGATCAGTTACTGTTCCTGGAGTATTATTAGCATACAATATCACTGCCATGTTGTGGAAGCCGCTATAGAAACACACCGATAACCCAAACCTCTCGGAGCCAGGCGCAGATCTGTTTTGAGGCATCTGGAAGGGATCCTGGGTTTATCTGCGCAGTCAGTCGAGTTGTTGTGGCCCATAAAGTCAACGATGCATCTGACATAGTAGAGGGGCCATTCAAATTGACAGATGTAAGCATTGAGATCGTGGCCTCCGCGACTTTCGAATATTCCAAAAGGTTATACTCGAGAATGCTATTCATGAGTATACAAGATGCCCTAGAAGTAGCTTGGGAAGTTGAGGCACGACATGTAAGCTCCCAAGCCTGTTTCCAAATTGCCCTTAATGAGGGCGAGTCTGCGTTAGGACTCCCAGCGAGGCTATAGTAAGCTTGGTCAGCCGAGGCATGAGAAGATTGCCGAGTGAACTTTACCTTGCAATAGTTATCATTGTCCAGGATGCTAATATGCTATCATCGTCGAGTATGTTTGGTATTAATCGCAAAAGCAGCGATGACTTCGAGTCATCACTAGCATGGTGCCTGGGGAGAAACGGAACCAATTGCAGAGCGCAGACTCTTCTGGTACCTGAGGATGAAGCGCAATCACTGTGAATTTCATCTACCATCGATGTGAGGCGCTGCCTTTTGTTCAACGTCTCACTTGACGTACGCGGCGGCGACAATCGCGCAGTTAACTCTTCTGATAAATCTACAAGGTTAGCTATAGCCCAGACCACGGTCCAATTGTGCTCTGATCTGCCAGATTCAAGACGAGGCCATAACAGAATCTTATCCACCGCCGCCGAAGTTTTCTGATGGAAAACCAACTCATCAACCTGTAGAATATCCTTTTCTGGGCGCCTGATATATTCTTTGTACAGAGCATCCAAGAGGTCTTCAATAGAGCGGCTAAGCAATTCCGATGGCTCCTGTCGAGTCGCTGCGGTCAAGATAACAATGCAGACCATTATGGTGAGAAGCAGTTCATCTTTCAACCCTACGAGTTTGGTAGCCCACAGGTGACAAATTACGGGTATTAAGTCCAGCAGTATGCTTTGAACAAGCTCTGACTGGTCAGATAATACCCTCATGATGACCGAATTAATGCTATTGAATGCACTTTGATGTCCGCTTCCCGCAATATGTGATGACTTGACATAACTCACTAGCCCGTGAAGTATCTTTGCGGCGGGCTCTTGAACTGGAGCGTTGACGCTTGCCGTTAGCAGCTGAATACAGACTACGGCTTCACTGATTGCACTCTTATCGCCTTTGGCTTTTTCTCTGACAGTTAGTGTTGGCGTCGATCTGGACGGTATGGGGGTACCTCCAGTCCCCAGGAAGTCATCCAAGGTGGACCGAGAATCGCTCCCTGTATGTGAATGGTCATCTTCATAATCTTGGGTCTTCAAGATCTTTAGAGAAAAATCCATGAGCCTTTCCCATCCATTGGCTCCCAAATGTTCGACATGTGGAGGATAATTTAGCAATGCAGTCAAGCATTTTGTATAATCAACACCGAGAAGCTCAAACAGACTCCCTCCTGGGTCCTGTAAAGTATCGGTTATATGATCAACAACCGCACGAACAGACTTGGCTCGCAGGTTATGCAAAAGGGCATCAACAGCTAATCGCAGAACAGATGCACATGTTGATAAGCGAGAAGCAGATGGGCCCTTGGAATTTGCTCGATTATACAGAGATTTCTCTGACGAGATGAATCGGAACAGTGACTCAAAAACCTTATGACAGGCTTTGTCATTCAGGGAACTCCTAGATGATATACACGGGTCAACAACAAGGACAACCACCAATCGAAAGAGTGATACTGATTGCCCACATACAGTTTTGAGTTTCGTTTATTTTGTTGGAGTATATGCTTCAAATCTTGCTGATGTTAGAAGGGTATGATAGATCCTCCAAGTATGACCCACCAGCTAGACCATCTGAGCGCTCTCTTTGCTTCTCGGATGACAGAAGCACCAGGGTCCTATCCAGAGTGATTTCCGCCATTGCGATGATGCTGATGATGCGGAGTAGTACTTATACACATTTAACACTAATAAAGTCGAATGTTTGACAACCAAGTTCATATGTAACCTTTTCTAGATTGTCGAGAATTCCATTCTGCAACAAAGAGCATAGCTAAGCCCTTAAACCCGCATGAAACAGGGGCGTTATGGGACAATTGCCTGTAAGCTCTGGTGCGGCTGTTGAAAGACTCAAAGGAGCTTTGGTCTTGGCGCAAACAGAAGCTCCGCCGCTTTTACTTTTTCGGGTCGGAATTTTGATCGCGACCTCCGACCTTTTTTGGCCCGCAACAAACAGTTTATACTTCATATCCTCTTCCACAGCGCATTTCGCCAAGCTAGAGAAATCCTCTGAATATGGAGGACAGAGATACTCTAGCGGGCCTTCGCGGCCTATATCAAGATCTCTCTTCCCTCACTGAGTCGTCCTTTGTGAACATCGACCGTCTCCGTTTTGAGTTGGAGGCTCACATTGATGATTTCAGGAAGCTCCTTGACAGGCCACCAAAAAACAATTCCAGTCGCCAGGCTGTTCTTTCAGGTAAGTGTTTATCTTATATGTGCAATGGAAAATGTCTTCTTATATTGGAACCATGTTAACGCTACTTCGAAACCACTTAGGGAAGATCACCGTCGATGACCTTGAATATTCCATCAACGAGGAGTTCCAACAAGGCGCGTTACAGCTGGCCGATGCGTTGGGTATCGATGAATTGGAGGCAGCACACCTGTTTCTTGGCGCACAGGATCATGCTCAGATGCTGGACAGAACTCCTCTTATCGCTGCGATCATGCGGTTTCACGAGCGTCGGCACTTCCTCCTCGAATCTCTGCGTCTTATCCTCCAAGAATCCTTTGAGGTCGAGCGGGAAATGACTCAGGTACTAATGCAGGACATGATAGCCTTCGTTGTCGAGATAAAGAATGGCCCTCTACGAAACGCGTCGCTGTTTACACGGAAATGCATGAAATCGATGGAAGATATTGAGAAGTGGCTCGTACTTGTTGCTGAACAAATCCAGAAAGCATCCATTGTTGGTCAAGCCGAAGACGCCGATATAATGGAGGCTATAGAGTATCAGCGCGCCAGCTTGCAGCAACAGCATGAGTCATTGGGCGCTATAATTTGCTACCTGTTCAAAGGCCCTTATACTAGCCCCGAGGATCTTCGACTGCTGCTTGGAAACCTTCGGAAATTGGACCGGTTTGATGGCCTACTCGTGCATTATATCCCTTCTATAATTGCTGCTTTCGTTCAACATGGTTCTCCGGAAAGTTCCAATTCATACAAAGAGGCCCGAAGCCTGCACACGGCCGTTACGTCGACCAAAGATGGCCAGTCCTGGGCCCTCCCAACTTTCCATTCTGCAATAGTTGCTCTCTGGCTTGCAGTATATGGTGGATGGGATTTTGATGGACCGTCGTCCCCACTTCCCGGGGTTGATCTCGAGAAGGACGCAGAGGAGCGCACAAAGATGTTCATGACAGCGCTGGATGATGGAGGGCTGGACTTTATGTTGGCTGTCTGCTCTGGAGTTAATAACGAAGAATGGGCGGATCCAGCTCGAAGTGAATTGGTTACATTGCTATTGAAGGAAAGCTCCTCAACTCTGCCCGAGTCTGACACTTGTGCTACCTACATGAAATGTTTACTGATGGAAAACTTCGAGGTTTTTGTGGAGTCATGCATCGCTAATATGCCGGATGCTGTTCGGATGTTGAAATCCGAAGAAGACTCGCAAAGATTGGATCAGATTACTGCGCTTAGAGATGGCCTAACTTCTAGTCTCCATCGAGGCTTAGTGGAAGCTCGGACGCATCTTGAATCATTCCTCATGGTAATGGCTTTTGCATTTGAGCAGCGACCGGACGCTGCACAGGAGTTTTGGGCCGATCCTGACGGAAACTTGTACGGCTTCCTTCAATGGGCCTCGAAAAGGCAAACTGTCCCTAGAGTTAGCGCGTTCTGTGAATTACTATGCTCTATTTCGGGGAGCGAAGATAATGCCACTGCAGCTCATAGATTCCTCACTGAAGAGGACAAGTTTATGTCTGCTAAATTTAAGCGGTCGACTTCTATGAACTGGTCCCAGATGTTCGCTGAGTTAGAACTTTATGCAACAAAAGTGACCGAGAAGCCTCCTGCCTCGACATCTCAAACGATCCTACGATCCCGGAAGTCTGAACCCGCAGATATGAGTGAGCCAGAAAGTCCTGTCATGCTGACCTGCTATCTCCGGTTGCTGGGACATCTATGTAGACAAAGTGTCGCGATAAGGGACTGGATGCTTCATCACCCCTCGTTCAACGTTGTCAGCACAATGTTGACATTGTGCAGCGGACCGATACCTACGCACTTAAGAGCAACAGTTTTCACCACCCTTGCAGCTCTGATGACTGGACGAACATCTATCAATGGCAATGAAATGTGGCTTTCTATTGACCAGTGGATTTCAGGTGGATCTATGAGTGCTTCTGGAATGGGGAAGATCCCAGTAGTCTCGAATCCCCTTGTTTGGCATGAGCAACAAGCGTTTCAGAAGTTTGGCGAAAGCTTCGACCAAGCCAATGCTTTTGTCAGCTTAATCAATTCCCTTGTGTCTCCAACATCTGATTCAGCCGACTACCACCTCTCGCTGCCATTTCCTGAATCTTTGGGTTCATCCTATCGCATGCCAGGTATTGAGCCTTACATAGACTTTGTATTAGGCCATGCCTTGTCACGGAAAGTACCAGATGTCAACGAACGCCAATCTCGGATGCTGACATACAATTGCCTGGAGTTTGTCGTGACATGCTTGAAGTCCTTCAACGAGAGTCTTGTCTCTGTTCTCAGTCAACCCACTGTTCCATCCGATGTTAAAACGTCGTCATTGGTTACTTATGTCCGCCTACACCCCTTTGCACGGGTAGCTGAATGGTTGTTCAACGAAGATGTAATCAAGGCAATCTTCGCGACAGCTCACCAAGATATAGCTGAGGTTTCCAAGGCGGCGCCTGACTCTATATTGGTCCTCTCTGTAGTCAGAAGCCTTGAGGTCATGGATCTAATCATGGACCTTCAGTCGACGTATTTCAACATTGTCCGCCCCTTGATCAAGTCTCAAACTGGTGGAAGCCGAACTAACGTAGCAAACTCATCGCTCTCGGCCTTTGAAGATAGCGTCCTCAACAATTTGTCAATTGTACCAGCTTTGTGTCTTTATTGCAGCACGGCACATCAACAACTCACAATCACATCCATGGTGCTGTTGGAGAAACTCTCTAGCTCTAGAAAGCTCAACAAGGTTTCATCACCAGGGTTGTCCAAGTGGCGGTCCTCGAATAAAATCGTTGAGGTCCTCAGCACGGAAGTGGAGGTGGATAGCGTGGCGCGCCCGCTTGTATCTCAAATGCAGCCGGAACTACGGGAACTTGATCATGGGCCGCAATCTTCGGGTTACATTATTAGAGAAAGTTTATTGGCGCTGCTGAATAGCTGCCTAAGAATGATCACGGATCGGCCAACGATAGCTCATCTACTTCTTGGGTTTAGCAGTGTGGGAAACATGCTCGACATCTCTGACGGACTTCTTGCCAACGGAATGTCTTTGCTACACGCTATCATCACATTCTTGCAAAGCTACCCAGATCAAGTTGATGGAAATATCCTGTCATGGATGGTGCACCTGAAGCGTATGGCATTGGAGGTGTTAAAGCATTTATGGTCATCCAAAATTTCTTCCTACTTCACCCTTACTGAGATGCGTGCGAGCCGTTTTCTGCAAAGTCTGCTCGCAAGCCAACCCATCATTGGACCGAATACTTCTTGGGATGGGTTCCCGATTATGACGGAAGAATTCTGGGTTTCGGATTCTGCTAGTGCTCTCGCAGAATTTCTGTTGTACAGAAGTTATTTGTATGCTTATGCTACTACAGAGGTTCGCTCGGCTGCTAAGCTCCGTTCACCAACGCTACAAACAGATATCATGTCGACATTGTTTGGAAATTCGACCTCGGAGACGGGGGATGCCATAGTGAATCCTACGGTGTTTGACTTTTTCGATTTCGCGGATCTGGACATTGGACGTCAACTTCAGCCCCCAATGCTGGTCCTACTAGATGGCATTATGCTGGATGCGTGCGCAAAAGAGACGGATGATTCACTTATTCTTTACAACGAGGCGGAGTTGGAGGAGCTGATACAACTCAGAAAAGAAGAATTGCTTTCTAGCGGGAACTTACGCCCTCAGGACGAGGAACAATTTCTTGCAGAAGCCGAAGGTTTGAAGATGTTCGTTCATGCGACAAACCAGTCAAGAAAGATCAATAACAACCGTTATTTGGCTCTCCGATCCTGGACGGAACTCATTACGACCATGCTCACTTGCTCCGAAATTGAAGGCGGGCGGAAATCGACATTCATACTGCATACCATTCAATTGATTCTTCCCAAGCTTGAAGCCGCTGTTGAAGAGGATCTCCCAGAGGCGACCGAACTAGCACGCTTAGCCGAATTTTTAGTTACGAAACTAGAATCAAGCACAGCAAAAGCAAATTCGGCCCGGAGAAGCGGGGATGTCATTGATGAGAAGCTCCAACAGCTCTTCCAGATCTGCGTTAGAGGTATCGCTCTGGCGACAGGAAATGTTAATCTCCGAGAAACTTTCTACAACATTTGCTCATCCTACATCGCCCGTATCATCCAGCCCGATACAGGACACGAGAGTGTCAAACAGCACAGTCACCAGATTGTCAAGATGGCTGGCACCACATTAATTGAAGCGATATGTGATGATGCATATGCTGGCCAGGAGACATGTCGCGTGTCTGCGCTATTGTTCCTCAATCTCCTTGCAGCTCTCGATAAACAGGGAGATTCTATATTGGCTGAGTCAATTTCCCAATCAAATTATTTAAGTCTCTTCCTCGATGCCATTAGGACATTGCCCATTGAATTAAGAAATGCCCAAGCGAATGGTAAGCTTTCATGGAGTCTACTGGCCATATCTACAGCTAACCAGGTTTAATTCAGATACACCTTTGCTCTTATCCTATTACGAATCTCTGTTATCTTTGCTTCAGCAACTCTGCCAAACGAAGGCGGGCGCGACCCATGTTTTGAAGACCGGTCTTTTCGAAGCAGTACGTGGTTCGCAGCTTTTCGCTGCCGACCCAGATCTTGGCATTGGTCAGTAGCAAGTCGTCCTTGGTACAGTCAAACTGTCTAACTGTAGTAGATATTGATAACCCCGATGCTCTCCGGAGGTACTACGATTTACTGGATTCCGTCCTACGAGTAATTGTTTCCGCTGCGTTTTCTCGGGGCCTGCATAACGAGCAAATGATGGAACAGACTCGTGCGTTCCTTGCTGAGAATAGGCAAAGTATGGTTGGCATATTCAAACGCTTCGCCAAGATCGGTGGAGGGGGTGCTGCCGATCACCATAGCGCCCTGACCAACCTGACCAAATCATATATGGCACTAGTTGCTGCTACGGATTTCTTAGAGGTACGCACTTTAAAACGCATGATTTACTTCTTAAATAAATCAGCTAACACTCAGCAGTTTGAGGATAACGAAGTGAGAGAGCTCACTCGACCCAAACTATTCTCGTGAACAGGGACTATGGACAAAGGGTCCAGGCACTTTTGGGGGGAGTAACTGGATTTATTGATGTAACGAAATGGTGTATATGGAAATGATTACTATATTGAGGCCTCCTGCTGTCTTAAATCTATAACCTTGGCATATCTCAAAGGGAGTGTTCTCTTTTTTTTTTTTTTTTTTTAACCATTTTTTAAAAGAAAAAATGGACCTAAACAATTTTTCATTCCTTGCTGCCAGCTATGTACATACGTAGATGTGTAGAATTGTTGTCCGGCGAGATATGATATTCCCCACAGGTCAAACATGCGGACGTATTATCTTATCCCCGAGTTAAACGTCAACGGAACCTTACCGCGGAGTATCTCTGCTTTAACCCTCCTCTGTGTCAGCTGCCCCCTCCTTTTATCTTCCCTTCCACTACACTTGCCGCATAGCCCGTTTCAAATTCGACAAAGTTTAGGTGGATTTGCAATGAATTGTATAGGCCAGAGATCTTCTGGACCTTTCCAACGCTGAGCGCTCCTCTTCAATATCGTCATCTCGGACAAGACCGGGTAGATGCAGCAAAACTCGAGAGGCGCCACCGAGCAGAGGAGCGGTAAGCGCAAATCGATCGGCAAGAGGAAGCTTTCTGATCAAGAGGAAGCATCACACCAACCTCAGCACCAACAGGCGACGATTTCGGAGCTCCTTTCGCGGAACCACACAACCCACGGGAAAGAGCATCACCATCATCCTCATCATCAGCTATCCTCCCCGACGAGCAAGCGTCCCCGGCTATCGCCAAACCCCTCGGGTCTAACTCCTGCACAAGGTCCGCGGGGATCAGCTTCATCCAACACCATGTATAATTTCTCCAACCAGGAAACGAAAGACGGTGGATTGTTTGGTCAAGTTAGGCCGGGCACCAGCTCCGGAAATGTAGCTGCAAGGCCCCGCTCTTTCAACGCACCAGTGCGCCAAAGCAACTTCACCCCTCACACCGGCGCCAAGAAGCTTGTTGTCAAGAATCTGCGGGTGGGCTCTCGGTTGAATCAAGATTCATACTTCGAGAAAATATGGGGCCAGCTTGACGCTGCGCTGACCGCGATCTTCGATGGCGGGAAGCCCGAAATCTCTCTAGAAGAGCTATACAAAGGGGCTGAGAATGTATGTCGTCAAGGGCGAGCTTCAGCGCTGGCCAGACAACTACAAGAGCGATGCCGAGGACATGTATCCGGTAAACTGCGTGATACGCTGGTAGCAAAAGCAGCGGGCGGGAACAATATCGATACGCTACGAGCTGTTGTAGATTCGTGGACGACATGGCAATCAAAGCTGGTATGTCCCCGTTCACTTTCCGCTCGCCTGCCCTCTCGTAATTGACTAGTTTGCAGGTTACAGTACGCTGGATTTTCTACTATCTCGACCAATCGTTCCTCCTCCACTCCAAGGAATACCCAGTTATACGTGAGATGGGTTTAATCCAGTTCCGGCAACACATATTCAATGATCCAGTCTTACAACCCCAAGTTTTACAGGGCGCCTGCGACCTGATCGAAGCGGACCGTGACGAAGGGCGCAGCATGTCAGCCGACTCATCTTTGCTTCGGAATGCTATTGAATTTTTCCATGGCCTTGATGTTTATACTACTGCTTTTGAGCCTCTCTTTGTCTCCGAATCGAAGAAGTTCTTCGCATTATGGGCTCAGCATGAAGCCTCAGGATATCTTGCCACTTTCGCGGAAAACAGTCACCGCTTAATTGAACAAGAAGTAGACAGGTGTACATTGTTCTCTTTAAATCGGAGCACAAAACAGAAGTTGTCTGAACTTTTGGATCAGGAGTTAGTGGCAGAACAAGAGGATGTTCTTCTCAATCAAAATGATATTCTTGGTCTGCTGCGGGCCGGCAATAAGACTGCCTTGGAAAAACTGTATACGCTTCTTCAACGAAGGGATTTGGGGGCGAAATTGAAGACGGCATTCAGCAGTTACATTGTTGAGGAGGGTACCAATATTGCCTTTGACGATGAAAAAGAGGCGGAAATGGTGGCCCGGCTACTGGATTTCAAACAGCAGCTTGACGAGACTTGGATCAACTCCTTCCATCGACATGAGGAGCTGGGACACACATTGCGCGAGGCCTTTGAGACGTTCATGAACAAGGGACGAAAATCTGGCGCACCCGGAGGCACAGATAATCCAAAGACTGGGGAGATGATTGCCAAATATGTGGATAGATTACTCAAAGGCGGGTGGAAATTGCCTTCTGGACGGAAAGCCGAGGAAGTACCTCTTGCCGATGAGGATGCCGAAATTAATCGACAGTTAGACCAAGTGTTGGATCTCTTCCGATTTGTACATGGCAAAGCTGTATTTGAGGCATTTTACAAGAACGACCTTGCTCGTCGGCTATTGATGGGCCGGAGTGCCAGTGATGATGCAGAGAAGAGCATGTTGGCGAGGCTCAAGACAGGTTCGTTCTGATTTCGATCGACAGAAAATGACATGGATGCATGGAAGCTAACGTTGACGATTGGTTAGAATGCGGTTCCAGCTTCACGCACAACCTGGAATCTATGTTTAAAGACATGGACGTGGCGCGGGATGAAATGGCGGCGTATAATTCTATTCAGCGTGAACGCAAGCACCGATCACCCGTGGATTTGAATGTCAGTGTGCTCTCTGCAGCCGCCTGGCCGTCCTATCCCGATGTTCAGGTGCGAATACCGCCCGAAATCGCGACGGCTGTCAGCGAGTTCGAAAAGTTTTACTACAGTAAATACAACGGGCGCAAACTTAATTGGAAGCACCAACTCGCGCACTGCCAGCTGCGCGCAAGGTTTCCCAAAGGCGATAAGGAACTGGTAGTCAGTTCATTCCAGGCCATCGTGCTCCTGCTATTTAACGACGTGCCAGAGAAAGAGACTCTTAGCTATCTACAGATCCAGGAGGCGACGAAGTTATGTCAGTACCCCAATTTCTCAAGTCTTCAGTTACTCATACTCTCTGGGCTGCTGCTAACGGACGTGATATAGCTGACCAGGAGCTAAAACGGACCCTACAATCGCTCGCATGCGCCAAATATCGAGTGCTTGCTAAGAAGCCGAAGGGTCGAGAAGTCAACACAACGGACGAGTTCTCGTACAACGAGGCATTCTCCGACGTGAAGATGCGGATCAAGATCAATCAGATCCAGCTGAAGGAGACTAAAGAGGAGAATAAGACGACACACGAGCGAGTGGCAGCTGATCGCCATTATGAGACTCAGGCAGCTATTGTGCGAATTATGAAGAGTCGGAAGACCATCACACACCCCGAATTGGTAGCGGAGGTGATTAAAGCGACGCGCAGCCGAGGAGTGCTCGAGCCTGCGGATATCAAGAAGAACATTGAGAAGTGAGTGACTCTGGGAATTTTTTTTTTCTTTATTGTTGAGAATCTGATTACTAACTACGAGTGCTCTACAGGCTGATTGAAAAGGACTACATGGAGCGAGAAGAGGGAAACCGGTATCAGTATGTGGCATAATGGAATATTTAGAGACGACCGTATCTTTGTCAGCAAGACATTATTATCATGTGTTTAATTTCTCGAGCATCATATGACACGAAGCAAACGTTCTTTAATATACTACTAGTACAACTACTTATGTATGACCAGAGACAATGTGGGGGGGGTACTTTGTTCCCCGGTCCATCGGCCATGCAGTAGCTGCGGCCGCGGAAATCTAATCGTGTTCCCTATTAAGTTATTATTAACCTTCCCCCGTGGTCACGGGATGGCATGTCCAGCCCCCACGCGGTGCCGATCCGAACATCCCTGAGAAAAGTTCGGGATTGGCAGACGGAGCCCTCCGTACGCTGGGTTATCTCTCCGTTCGTAGTATATTCCACTTTTCAATTTTTTAGTATTATTATTTTAATCTAGCATTGTATAGTTGATCCTCTCTATTATCAATAGCATCATGATTACTAGTATCTATATGAGTTCCACTAACCGGTTTTGTGGCGAGGTGATCGACAATTTGTCAAGATTCCATGATCGTTGGCATCATCATTGAATGAGTGATGAGATAATTGCGTACTGAACGGTGAGCAAGCAAAGTCAAAGAGCATACAATCTGTACTCGACGCATCACCACAACTCCTTTCGACTCTCGCCCGAGAAGACCGAAACTCGGTAGAGAACGAGCTACCGAAAAATAAATCAAAAATAAGCATAATCCAAGGGATGGTCCGGAAATGGTAAAATGTTATGTATCATCGGATGTAATGAAATGAAACGGAAGAATCAAAAATGGTCTGGGCTTTTTGGGGGTTCACGTGGATGGCTGCGCTTTTTCTTTTTATCCACAGCAACCTTCCCTCTGTCTCAATCTCAACCCTGAGAGACGGACGATCAGGACGAATCCTCAATGGAACACTTCGAGGAACTAGGGATCAGCTTGAATAGTATGCGAATACGTACGCGCCTATCATTGGGAGTTCCTAATGCAGTAATGATTAGAGCCCTTCAACCACGCTGGTGGATTTCCATTAGATCTGACAGCGGGGAAACTAGGCTTTTTTTTAAGGTCCCATGATCGATTTTTATGTTGGGGATGTTTCTAGCGCCGTTCTCCCCTTTTTGTCGCTTCCCTTCATGAGTAAACTATGAAACTGTTCGGTCCAGAAATTATTCTCGCTACGTACGACTCTAATTTCTTTTTTTTTTTTTTTTCCTGTTTCACACTGCTTCCATTTTATTTCATTTTATTTCATTTTATTTTCTCTTTTTTTTTTCTGCCTTTTTCTGCCGAATCGCATAAAATCTTAGAAAAGGACATCTTGAAGTTATGGATTCCTCAATTGATCTCTTCCTGTACTTTCTCTGCCCGAATTGTCAATCTGATAGTGAAAGGGACTCGTAATAGATACTTATACAGAAAGTATATCATATGCATGCAGAGAATAGGAATAATCCCAATAGTGTGTACCTGCTGCGTCCTCTGTAGATCTTCGGGCATCCCACAATGCATACTGGGTCGCTGGACGCATGCCGATATACGTGGAGTGCAATCCGTTGGGATACTTCTCGCGCTCATCGGCGACGGGAGTAAGGGATGAGTAGAATGTACATCACGAGCACTGAAAGATTTTTATTTTTCATTTTTATGTTTTTATTTTTATTTTTTTCCAATTGCATTAGGATGAAATCTGTATAATTATGTAAGGATGGGCTGATAAATCGAGGTATACGTAGTAATCATCACAATCATCAGACATCTCTACAATGTATGTACATACATATGTTGTATTGTAAATTGGTACCTAGTAACCATGGTATGTAGTTAGTGGATGCACCCGGAAGGTGATATGGATCGACACTTGCGACATCCACTCGATAAGTCCTCCAGTGTAACAACTGGCAATTATCAATTTCAATTTTTGACCACAAGGAAATTATCCGCGGAGGAAGCCGTAGCCGCATCCATCGAACGGAACTATCCAAGTGTTTTGCTTACCCCAAGCCCATCCCATACGAGGGGTCGAGGCGGGAATGCCACAGATGGTAATCCGAAGCGTTCGTTCAAAAGTCGCTAAGGTTCCAGACCGACCCATGGGGTTTCGCGGCCGGCGGGGAGTTGATTACCTATGGACAAGGCCTTAGAACAATGTATAATTGGTGTAATATTACGAGTCCGCAGGTACCGATGTTTGGAGTGCTCCGTACATACTTCGTAGTGGGCTAGACCTCCTAGGTACTTACTCGATTAGGTACTCCTCGGTATAGCTGCCTCGCTCGAATTTGCTGTACTATCGTGAAGTACTATTTCATTGCCTATCTGGGGTTGATGGGTCTCATTGCAATCCATCATTGTCCATGTGAACTGAAAAAAAAAAAAAAAAAATTTAAAAAAAGAACAAACAGGTTTGACAACACCGTCAACGGGTTCGCCTGGTTAGAACTTCTTGACTACTTGAGTACAGTCATTCCCTAGTATAAGTATACAACGCTCCCCTTCACTCTCAATCTTCCCTGATTGTTATTATCTTCCACTCCTCTATTCTCCATCTCTTGTCCTCTGGGTGACTCTCACCTCATCATAGTTACTACTACTCAATTTGTCTCGACTTGTTTGAATAACTCTCAGGCTCACGATTACCTCATCCTGATATTATTAGGTTTTCTCCACCTGTCCAATATACTGTGAGTATCACTGGCAAATGACATGCCCTTCTACCCTTGTGATCTCCAGTTTTTTTTTCCGTCGCATGAGAGCCTCTGGACTGATAGATAATAGACCATTTCTCCACTTTTTCCCCGCCTCTCACGGACGATAGGGCGATTGTAACTTCTGCGCCAGTCCTATACTCGTGATACATCTCGGCGCAAACCTAAGCGAGTTATCCCGGCTCTTTGATTAGGAGGAGTTTCGCCCAGAAACTCGACCAAATTTCGCTGTAATCTTAGCGAGGAAGCGACGCTTATAAGCAGACGAATACCCCCCTGGCCGAGTGTATCCTTTTTGTCGCAATTCTCAACTGGTCTCGTTAACCACCAAGACTTCCGGTCTTTTCTCCACAGCCGAAGGCGAGCATCCAATCCAGTATCGACGTCATAATCCGATTTCCAGTTGTTTGCTGCAAATCATTAGGCAATTGCACACATCATACATCATGTCTACACAGGGTATGTTGCAAGCCGGTTTCTAAAATTATCCCATCTTATTGTTTTGTTTTTTTTTCGTTGGGGCCTTATACAACCCCCCTCGCGATCAGACCCACGATCATCATGGAACGAACCCCGATGTTCTCCACAAACAGAACTAAAACCCCAGAAAATATGCATTGACAGATGCACTAACGCAACACAGCCAAACACTTCTTCTCGGACCCGAACCATCTGGTTGTCACCGCCCTCCATTCTTTGACTCTGACAAACCCTTCTCTTGCTTTTGATCCTGAGAACAAGATCATTTTCCGCCGCCCTGATTCGCTCAAAAAGAAGAAGGTCGCGATCATTTCCGGCGGTGGCTCCGGCCACGAACCGGCTTTCGCGGGCTTTGTCGGCCAGGGATTCCTAGATGCTTCAATCGCTGGCACTATCTTCGCCTCTCCCTCTGCTGTACAAATCCGTAAAGCTGCTCTCGACTATGTTGATAATGAGCAAGGTGTGCTCATCATTCCCATGAACTACACCGGCGATGTGCTCAACTTCGGTATGGCTGCCGAGAAGGCACGCGCCGCCGGAATCAAAACTGAATTCTTTGCTATCAATGACGACGCTGGCGTCGGCAAGAAGAAGGGCGGAAAAGTCGGCCGTCGCGGTATTGGTGGCGGAATCCTCGTTCTGAAAATTGTCAGTGCTTTGGCTGAGACGGGGTAAGTTGCATATTTTGTACATTGCTAAAAATGAGGGCCCTCGCGCTGACAGACAACTAGTGCTTCTCTCGAGGAAATCTACCGTGTTGCTAAACAGGCGAACTCGCTGCTCGCAACTGTGGGTTCTTCTCTAGAGCACGTCCACATCCCCGGCAGACCTACCTCAGAGGATACTATTCCTGTTGGAGAGGTCGAAGTTGGAATGGGTATTCACAATGAACCCGGCTCTCATCGAATGAAATTCACTTTGCCAGAGCTAGTGAAGACCATGCTTTTCCAAATCTTAGATCACAACGATCCTGACCGTGCTTTTATTACACGCGAACCGGGCGATGAGTTCGTACTCCTGATTAACAACCTGGGCGGTGTGAGCAGCTTGGAGCTCTCTGGTATCACCGACGAAGTATATCGTCAGCTTGAGCGGGACTACAGCATCAAACCTGTACGAGTTATTCAAGGAACTTTCCTGACTAGTCTAAATGGGTTGGGATTCAGCGCTTCTCTGTTGAAGCTCGCTGACAATGGTTTGGGCGCTGGCAAGTCTTTCCTTGAGCTTTTGGATGCTCCCGCTGAGGCAGTTGGTTGGTCCGCTCCAATCCCAACATCCACCTGGGACCGTCGGACCGATGCTCCTGTAGAGCTCAAGAAGACCAAGCTGGCTGAGGAACAGCCTAGTAACGTTAAGTGTATGTTTGATTTGCCCAACCTTCCGTGTCCCATTCCCGTGGACGCACGCTAACGAAATGTATCAGTGGACCCTGCTACTATCAGAAAAGTCTTGGGAGCTGGCCTCCGGCGCATCATTGACGTCGAACCGATGGTTACTCGCTACGATACGATCGTCGGAGACGGTGATTGTGGTGTTGGCTTGAAACGTGGTGCCGAGGCTGTTCTTGCACTCCTTGAGGACAACTTGTCAAGCCTGGATGACGACGTGGTTAAAACCGTCAACCGCATCGTTACCATTGTGGAGAACACCATGGATGGTACTTCAGGTGCCATCTACGCCATCTTCTTGAACGCACTTGTGCACGGCCTCCGGGAGCAAGACAAGGGCAAAACGACTCCTGCCACAGCCGAAATCTGGGGCGAGGCCTTGAAATACTCGCTTGGAGCCCTTGGAAAGTACACACCCGCCAAGCCTGGTGACCGTACTATGATCGACGCCCTTGTTCCCTTCTGTGCTACCCTACGCGACACCAAGGATGTCCATGCTGCTGCTAAGGCTGCCCAAGAGGGAACCGAAGCGACGAAGAGCATGAAGGCCAGCTTGGGACGGTCTGTCTACGTGGGCGGTGAAGACGAGTGGGTGGGTAAGGTTCCTGACCCGGGTGCTTACGGACTCAGCGAATTCTTCACAGGGCTTGTTGAAGCCATTCCGAAGCAAGCATGATTCCTCGAACCTCGCGGTACATATTGCATCTCATGAAACACTTTAATTTTAATCGATGACATCATGACAATTGCAGGCGTTCTGTTTTGTGCTGTGTTCATTGTTGGATTTATTTAGGCTTCTAATTAGCTACTATTATCTATAGTGTATAAATTCTATGGATTTATTATTCATGTTTTTCCATTCCCGTAAGACTCCTAACTGCTTGTAGATAATAACCAAGCCAAGCTATTTGAAGTGCGACAGTAGGTTTCTTGCTAGCGTGGGCCTTTCATTGCATTGTAGCTAAGTGGTTGTATTAGAATCCATATTTATACATCCAAAAAGCCACTGTCCACGCCCCTTTCGCCGATCGAGAACACTCGACCTGCCCCTATTATCTTCGAGAAAAATCTCGAATCAGACTACCTGACTTTTCTTTCCTTTTCTAACTTTTCTAAATGGACCAGAAAAACGCCAGATATGTCCCTTCATGATACAGTAAAACAACGAAGAACGGACATAGAGAAAGCTCATGAGAAGAAATAGAATCCCTTTTCTACTCGCCAAGGGAGCTTAGGATATACGTGTGATTGAATCCCCGACTATGGATCGCAGACTTCGGAAATCGTAGGACAGGGTATCGATATCAAGAAATAGACCGTCTTTGTCGACTCCAATAACTGGATAGAGAAAAGCCAAACATGTCGCGCATGTCACGTGGTTGGGAATGAATTCCCGAAATCAACTGAGCAGAACGAGGATGACCGAGTCACCGCGCAGGAACCTAGAGCGACATGTAAGATACGGAGGTCCCTCACCAAAATATATCAGGCGGGGGCAAATCGCATGGCACTTACATCTTGCTGATGAAGCGATCCTTGTTGACACCCTTGCCCTTACCGCCCTTGGGCTTCTCTGTCCACATTTCCTTGACGTTCTCCAATACCATGTTGCAGTGGCGGTCGAACGCCTTGACGCGAGCGAGCAGGCGACGGTTGCTACGGCAGGCGATCAGGACCTGGGTGTGTGTGCGTGTGGCGGTTTGGAGGAGAGAGAGGGGGCCAGCTGTGAGCTCATGTTCCTCAACGAGGGAGACCTCGTATTCACTAGATGGGGTGTTAGAGGCTGTAGATAAATGCGACCGGAGACTGCGTGTATATATCCAAGAGAAAGGGTCAGATGGAAGATGGAAAGAACATACGTAAGCTCACTCTTGGGCTTGTTAAGCAGGTCCCTGTTGAATTAGACGGTATGGTTAGCATCAGATCGACTAGGTTAGATTAAAGATCACGCCATGATGAACTGAGTAAATGACGCATATAATGACACATGATCTCAAGGGAAAGAGGGGTAAGTACTGGATCTTTGGGTCGGTCGACATGTTGGCGGTATATAAAGGTGGTGTGGTGGTCTGCTGGAGGAACGTCTTGATTATCTTTCCATCGGACTATCAGCTTTGTCGCTGTCTTGGACTCTTCCGGCGTCTTGGCGCGGGTCGCGGATCACGTGTCGCGTGTGTTTGCCGTGTTTGCGACAGAGCTTTTTTCTCAGTTCGCGATTGGCTGCGTCACGTCGCGTCCGACACGGTACATGTCGGCGATCTTGAAAGCTTCTCGACATTCAAATGCAAGGCGTCTTTTCCTTTCCTTCTCCAACCTCTCACTAATTCCTCGCCCCTGCTTCACGACTCGCAGTTACTTTCCAAGTCGGAATCGAAAATCCCTGGAATCTCCTCACCCCTCTACTTATTAAGGACCTCTTACCGCATGTCCCTTCACCCCTTTCTTCAGTCCCGCGTCCGCATTCCAGAGATCATTCCACCCCCGCTATCCTAGTTCTCTACATACCGCTGCATTCTCCCGGTCGACGCAACCTTCGATTAGATAGGCTTCACGAGTCGATAAGCCAGTGGCGTAGATCGGACGCTACCTTGCTTCAATCCTATACACCCTCCTGTGAAAACTTTGACACGTTTTCGACATTCCTACCCTGCCGATTCAACCCACGGGTCCGCTTCTTCAACGAACCTTCACCTCGTTCTGACATATTCTTATTCGGATACTTATTCTTCAGCTTGCTTATGGTTATTCCTCTCAAGTTGGTGGCATGGAATCTCAGGACGGAATTTCCGTCCGGCCTATGAGGCGTGAGCTTCCCTTTCCTGCTTAATTCTACCGTGGATACTAATCATTGGGCTCCAATTCAACAGTGAAGGTACTTTACACATTTGACGATGCCAGCAAGACAAATTGCCTGGCCAGGTGGCCTCATCTTCTCGATGTCCAGACTGCTGCCCTGGACGAGAAGACGCAAATTGGGGTCATCGAGCTGAAGACTTGTATTCAGGCCATTGTCTCCGCCAGGTTAGTTGATTCATTTCCAGTCATCGAGGTTATACTGATTTTTGTCTGATTGCAGCCCCGAATTGGTTGCGAAATTGGGACAAGACTACACCGTTTATGCCTATGATTATTCCGAATATGAGACGCCTTTGGTTGGACAAGGAATGTTATCATGGGTTCTCGCTTCGGCTTCTCCCACGCCAAATGCCCCGGCTCATCAATCCGAAACCATGGTTACTGGTCGTGTTTGCAAAAATGTGCTGGGATTGTTCTCGAAGGGTGCTCAGGAGACTCTGGAGGTGAAGTTGCGGTTGGTGCCTGTTCCCACGGTCATGCAGAGCGAATACCTGGAAAGCATGCGGAAGTATCGGGAGTTGAGCACTGTTATTCCCCACGAATTCGATGCGCAAACGTGGACCAATTTCTTGCGCCAAAACCCGGGTTTGATGACCCCCACCATCACCCAGCAACTGGAACGGACGGAATCGCCCATGGACCACGCCGGAATTGAGCGTTTTCATCAATTACTTAGCGAGGGCTCGACGCCAAGGGAATTCCCACCTGTCTCTGCAAATGGGCCATATCGATCTGTATCACCTTCGCAGTCCACTTTGGCAGCTGGAAGCAGAGTATCCACCCCTGGGGCCCAACGATCACGTTATCAGCAGGATCAACTTTCTCAACCGGCACAGCAACAATTGCAACAACCCCGTTTGGACCGCGCACAGAGTGATATCATCCGTCCGTCCTCTAGTGCTTCTATGCGTGATTCAGACTTCACTATTCAGTCTCGGTATGCCAGCCGCAGGGGATCCATTCAGTCGGGTTACGGTAGCTGCGAGGAATCCGGAGAGTCCCAACCTCGGAAACGAGCTAAGCTGTATCGAGCGGAATGGCCTGGGAAGTCGGACTTCAATATCGAGAGGCAGCCGAGCTCCCTGCGGGTAGCGGCGAGTACAGCTGCTTCTGTTCGTATTCACCGCCCCACGCCAATCAATCCTGCTATTGCTGCTGCTCAGAACTCCCATGAAGAACCTGTTAGGCCACCCACCCCTATCTCCAATACGAATGACCTCCCTCGTCGGGCCCGCGCCATGCCGAGTCTTCTGCGTGAATCGTCCGTTCAGAGCAACCACTACGAGTCCCCGTATAACGCGAGCGATGACCAAACTCCTATTGAATTCAACGCGCACTCCCCAGAAGAGTCTCGTTACCAAGGTCTTTTCGAGCCTTCATTCAGCATGCCATCCTCTCCCCCCGTATTGGACTGCAGCTTCCCAGCACGTTCCAGCCCAGTTCTCCCACCTATGGTCACTGATCCTGATTCTGGATTCATGAGTGGTGGCGTGGAAGAGCTTTTAGATGAAGACATCGGCACACCATTAGAAGATTATACACGGCCTGTGACGAACAACACTGGCAGTGAGAAGCGAAGAGATCACCCAGCAGTGCAGGCCAGTTCACCTGTTGGCGCTCGCCTGAACCAGGAGACCCGAAATGAGAATGCCCTTGTCGGCGATGAGTCCCAAGGACAGCCTGCGAAGGAATCAGCACCCGTACCTCCCCGTGCACCAGCTAGCGCCGCGGGCTCGAGGCCGTCTTCGCGCGCAAGCTTTAGACAGGCTCCAAAGCCTCTGGCCCCTGCTCCTATGTCCCAGAGCGAAATAGAGCAGCTGATAAGCGCAATCCCCGCAAGTGACCCCGTCATGCCATCACAACCTCAAGGCCAGAATTCCGCTTGGGCAGCTGGCCCAATGAGTGATTTCACCGCTGCAGAGACCCCTGCTCCGCAGCGGGTTGCAGAGGACGGTAAGGTCCGCAGCGGGGCGGGTGCGAGAAGATTGAGACAGGTTCAGGCACGCCTCGATAAATGCATTCGCGATGGGCAGGTTCCCCCTTACTGTGAGAATTGTGGCGCGATTGAAACCCCCACATGGCGTAGGGCCTGGTCCAAGGAGATAATTGGGAATGAGCAAGAGGCCGATGAAATGAAGAAGGATTCGGGCATGTTGTTTTGGCAGTCTCTGGAGCGGAATGATCAAGACAAAGTTACCAAATTCAAGATCTACAAGAAGAGTCTCGCTGATGTCGACAATGACTTTGCTCAAGTCCTTCTTTGCAACCGTAAGTGATGAAGATATGCTAACTGATTTGCGCTCTTGATACTGACATGAAAAAAGCATGCGGCCTTTGGCTTCACAAATTTAAGTCCATGCGACCAGAGAACAAATGGAACAAGTCTTCGAATGGCAAGAGGAAGCGTCCCCCTAGGAACCGCAGGGGAGGCGGGCCCCTTTCAACCAATGGTGCTGCAACTAGGAGCCGGAGCAGAGCCGAGTTGACTAAAGTGGATGGTTCCTCGCCCGTCGCATCCGATGCCTCGTCGCCGGCAGCAGAAGACGGCATAACCCCTCGTGATAGCAACAGCAACGAAAACGAGAATGAGGATGATTCCCAGGAACCCCAGTCCAAGCGGCGGCGCGCAACCAGCTTGGAGCCTCGGAAGTCATCCGACACTACGGGAAGTCGTTGGCAAGAGGACAATGCGATCGAGGCCCTCAGGCGAGCTATCCAGTCTAGTCCTGCTAGGAATCTCGAAAGTCGCAATTCTGCCACGGCGGGTGAGAATAGTCTTACTCCCAAATCTGTACGGAGAGTTCTGTTTCCTAATTCGCAGGCTGAGGGCGGCCCTTTGAAAGCTCTATGCGAGTCGGTTCTGAACAGCCCACGCCGTAGCCCTCGTGTGGCTTCGCACGAGTCTGCCAAGCAACCTCAGGACAAAGAGAATGGCACTTCTGACCTAGACTGTCTCTTTGAGAGCCCTAGCTTCGAGCTAGACTTGCCTACCAGCCCTACACCAAGGCGACGCAATCCTCGCACCGGCGTGTTGGGTGAAAAGTCGCTTTCGTTGCCGGGTCAATCACCTTCGTCGTCTAAAGTACGCAAGGACATCAACACAACCCCCACGAAACTTACCGCGCAACGGCTCCAGCGCATTCAAAATAGCCCCGGGTCAACGTCACGCCAGGGTAAAACCCCTAAGCAGTCGCGCCTTCACATGCCTGAATTGCCATCTCTTCCCGACGATGCCTTCAGTGCGGATGCATTCGACGGAATGGATAAAGTGATTGTGGATATCTTCTCTGATGCTTCTGCCACGAACGCTGACTCCTTGTTCGGCTTTGACCCAACCAAATGTCCGTCCAGTAGCAACTGGCCAGATTGGTTGCCGTCCGACTATGTCTCGCCCAATGGATCTGAGGAAGAGCAGAACAACGGAGATGATGATTCTGGTAATCTCATCAACACGCTCTTATCCAACTCAGACCTTCATAAAGAAAACCACTTTGATATCTTCAATCTTGATTCGAACATCCTCGATTCTGGATTTTTCAGCTCTGATGCCCTCGATACCGACGTCATGGCCCTGAGTGCCAAGGCTAAGTCGGCCGAGGTATCGGGCCACAAAGAACAAGCACAAAACAATACGCCTAATGCTTCATGAGTTCCTTTGACTATTAATTTCTTTTTTACCCTTTTACTTATATTGTGATGAGCATCCGAGACTCTCTTTTGCATTTGTTTTGTTCCTTTTGATGTGTTTTTCAAGCGACGGCGTTGGTGGATTGGAGCCTGTACCGAGAGTACACCGTTGGTCTTGGGATTGTCCTGTCTTTTAGTCTCATTTTCATGTTCAAGTCATGATTAGCCTGCATCAGGCACACTACCGAGTGTGCCGCCGACTTTACTATTACTATATCTACCCAAAACCGAGGACGAGTTGACTCGTCTTGACTTACGATAACAAGAATACCAAATACAAAATAAATCAAAGAAGCAATCTTGCCTGTTCCTGAAGTAGATGTAGCCAGAATCTACCGATTAAGTACTAGTCCAATGGCCTTATACATCCCTAATGGATGATCATCTTAACTGCACTATACAAGGTCGAACGAAAAATGGCCATAATGCAAGAGCATAATAGCATGATCAATATTTGACGTTTTCTTAATGCCACTAATTTACTGCATCGCCATCCTGCTTATATGCCACCCCTATGTCTAGAGAAAAGTCCCAAACATATGCACCCTGGTATCAAAAAAAAAAAAAAAAAAAAAAGAGAGAGAGAGAGAGGCAGAAAAGACATAAAATCAATCAATTACTCAGCCGCCTCATAAAAAAGCGACTTAAACCGATGTGTCGCATTCACAACATTCTCATAGATCTTATAATCTGTCAAAGAACCATGATCAGCCGAAGCTCCCCACATAATTCCTCCCCTCCCAGCACCAAGCTCCTAACAACAAAGCCAAAGAAGTGAAGGCCAACAAGAAAGGAAGGGAACAACATACCGCAATCAGAGGGATTCCCCCAATCAAAACTACCCAACACCCTCACACCAAGACCCTATTCACACCCATCGGTCAGCATAAACCAATACCTCGTCTGCTATAGTCCGTAGGATCTAGAAGATATAATCTCGGAGTGTCGAAAACTTACCTGCCCCTCAACATCAGTCACCTTCCCAACAATCTCGACCAACTTGCCCATCTGCAGATGCGAATCGGGCTTCAGGATCAGCGTCACGTCTCCGTTATCTCCGCATGTGATGGTCGCCGTATCGCCGCGGAGAGATGTTACTGTGCCCAGTAGACGGACGGTGTTTGTGACGTGGGGGTTTGCGTTGGAGGGGTGGAAGGCGTGGAGGTGGGCGGGGAGGACGCGGGGTGTTTGGAGGGACATTTTCTTTTCTTTTTCTTTTGTCTTTTGGTTTGTTTGGGAGTACTTGAGGTTATGGATTGTTGTTTGTGGGAGGAACGGAGGTTATGTCGAATGATTAGGGTGGAGAGAAAGTGTGGAGTGGATGTTATTGACTGATCGATGGGATTATCAGTTCGCACTGATGATCGCGAGGATATCCATATCAGCGCGTGACGCGTGATCATGTGACTATACATTAGTTCATTAGACTAACCGTTTTTGGTGTTGCCCTATGGGGTTCTCCGGTGGTGGAATGGCCGAGCTCATGCATTGAGATAAGCACTAAGACTCACGGATATTAGATCCTTTAGCACGTAAATCTATGAATCTATGGAATTACCCTGCTACTCTCATGAAGGGGTATTAGTGCAGCTACTGATGTCAATGCCATTGTTCCCTAAAGTCTAGTATGATATCAGAGAACCTCGGCACAGTAGCTTGGATGATGCATGTCTCTCAAGTCTCTTGTCATCAGCTTCACAAGCAGAAGTGGGGTCATCACGCAAAACCATGACTTCTATTCCTTTGTTGGAAAGGTTGGACTTTTCGGGATCGCACTACCCCTGCCTGGCATCGAGCATGGCAAAAGAATCCTCGCCTCTGTGGTTGAGACACGGGCACGAGATGGACCAGGAAGTACGTGGGTGTCTGTGCCTATTGACAATGAGGACTTGTCGCGCGGATTCAAGGACATCAGCTTCCAGCAGCTGAACAATGCAGCGAACCATGCCGCTCGGTGGTTGAGTGAACATCTGCCAGGATCATCAGAACCGTTTCAATGTTTCGCTTATGCGGGACCTGAGGACTTCGGTATCCTATTCTCGCTGTTGCGGCTGCTAAGATCCAGAAAGTGGTATGTAACTTGAGACATTGGGGGAAGAGGAACATCGATCGCTGACAAATGGGCTGTGATAGATGGTTCTTCCGTCTCCTTTGGTAACCGCTGAGGCCCAGCTACGGATTCTCGAGAAGAAGAAATGTACTGTGTATCTGCGACCGTCATCAATGGCAAGCCAAGTCGATGCAATTTTGTGTGAGGCACCACATGTTCAGGCTGTCGAGGTTCCAGAGTTAGACGAGTTTATGCAGGAAGATGAAGCTGTACCTTATATTTACAGTAAAACTTGGGACGAAGGAAAGGACGACCATGGCTTGTATTTCACACATCCGGCACGACAGGTCCGTACATGCATCATATCTGGATATTTCTCCGTTGGATTGTCTTCTGACTGCTTGTTTAGGTTATCCGAAGCCCGTTACCTATAATCATAGCATGATGGCTGGCCCCGATATTGCCGCGTCACTGCCGGATGTCGAATTGGGTTATATTCACCAGTATGCCTGCCGAAGGTGGTATACGCCAGTACCATCACTGCATGTAAGTCCTCACCACCACCAATGACTCCGTAGTTGCTGTAACTAAACATGTTACCCAGTTCGTGGGGGGCCGTAATGGCACTCGCCATGCCGATCTTCCTGCACACCATCACAGTCGTGGGTCCCCCGGTACCGCCATCAGCAGAAGTAGTTATGAAAACCATCCGATACAGCCACGTCGAAGGCGCCCTACTACCACCGGCACTAATCGACGAGCTCTGTCAATCTCCATCTGGTCTAGATGCTCTCCGCCAACTAAAATATGTCCATTACGCAGGCGCCCCCCTCTCGAAAAAGACAGGGGGCCAGCTAGCCTCCCACGTCCGTATAGTACCCTGTATCAGTAGCACAGAAGCTGGTGGTTACTTCACCCAGATTCACAATCACCGCGACGCATGGGATTACATCTCCTTCCAAGACTACGCGGGAGCGGTATTCGAAAACCGCCTGAATAACCTCTCCGAACTAGTCTTCACTCGTCGCCCTGGGGACTCGCCACAACAGATCTTCAAGTTATATCCAGACCTCGATCGCTTTGAAACCAAGGATCTCTGGACAGAACATCTGGTTCACAAGGGTCTCTGGAAGATCATCGGCCGCACTGATGATTACGTCTATCTCTCTCATGCGGACGGACTGCACGCCTCGCTGTTAGAACCGGAAATCGAGGCACATCCACGTGTCAGATCTGCTTTGATCGGTGGCCATGGCCCTCCTGCTCCTGTACTTATTGTTGAGCTGTTCTCAACAGAGGAGGGGGAAAGCCGGGAGGAGTTGGTCTCTAGTCTACGGCCATATATTGAGAAGGTTAACGCCCGGGTTCATGACTGTGTGAGACTTTCTACGGAGCGGGTCAATTGTTGCAGCGGAGGAGAAGCCATTTATTAGGACCATTAAAGGTAGTGTCGCTAGGATGCAGACTCTCGCGTTGTATGAGGACGAGATTGCGGCGTTGTTTTCTTAGGGAAGGTATACTTTGCTGTAGGTATTTGGGCTTCAGTACTGGGAATAAAACCATGCTACAATAGGAGAATTGCCATATTCAGATAGAGAAAGAAAACGACAACGAACTGGAGATACCTCAAGTACCGGCCCATCTAATAATGGGCCCCAAACTGTTGTGTATTCAATAGAGAATACAGATCTTGACACACTCAACTCTAATGATTATCCGGATGGAGCATTTACTGGTCATGGCCAAGAGATTCCAAGCCCGTCAAATGCTGTACCAAAAGATTTTCTCCCAGCTGCATGCATTGATGATACTATTCAGGCATTAACCGATTACAGTGAAGATATTGCACGAGGACAGCAGTTGAAGTGCTATGAGTCTGTGCGGATACTACATAGTGATCAAGATGATAAATATATAAATCAAGAGGTCGAATCATTGGCAATAGTATTCCTACATGGCAGGGATATTTCTTTCTTATTTTAGCTCCCCAGCAGTAAATTCTTAGCATTTCGCAGTCGGATTCTCACCCTTGGGCAATCAGGCGCCATCATCGGGAGGACTGAATTCAATCAGTACTGATCTTATTGGTGTAGTCCCTCACGCCCATAAAACGTACGAATACAATAAGCTTGGTATGCCCTGCTCTATACTGGAGTTTGTATCATATTCTACGGCGTCGTTGCTTTATCCAAGCCTACCCAGTAAGGGTTCGCAGATACAGTTGGCTATTTTAGATATATCAGAAGGATTTCCAAGCTCTGCTCGAAATGAAATCGATATGTTGTACTACCCATCCCAAATTCGGTTCTTCGCCACCAATAGACCAATTTTGTAGGCAGCGTTGAGCAGTTCTGCAACTCCTGCGCTCCCTACATATCTATAGAGTAACATACCAGTAGAGTAACTTCGATAGAAAGCGGCAAGGCAATTGGAGATCATTTTCCGACATAAAGGGGTGGGACTGCATAGTGCATCCCCCTTGCATGGGGGTCTATGAAGATCTAACCCTAAGGGTCAAACGGAGAATACAAAGTAAGGGTGATTCTATTCACTTTTATAAAGAAGCCTCCCATAGGACCTGGGTGCTATTGTGACAAAGGCATCATGGACTCTGCAGAGCCAAAAGCCATTCCTCCTATCACAGAGAATGTGTGCGAAGATGTTCCAAACGGCGTTTCTGATGAGCCACCGCAGCCGTTGTACAGTATCCTATCGGAAAAGGAGAAGATCTTCACGGTATGCACCTGCTCAATGGTGACTTTCCTGGCTCCCGTAGCGGCCAATATGTATTTCCCTGCTCTTGGACCGCTGGCAAGACATATGCATGTGTCAAGCTCCAAAATCAGTCTGACAATAACGTCTTTCAAGGTAGATCTGGCCCCCGTGCTTCGTGTGTTCAACTTTCTCTTCATTCATAGCAGCTAACATCAGCAGATTGTTCAAGGAGTCGCACCCTTGCTAACTGCCAGTTTCTCCGATCAAAGCGGACGCCGGCCAGTTCTTCTGGCCTCTGTACTCATCTTCATCGGCAGTAATATTGGACTAGCGCTTCAAAGCAGTTATGCAGCTCTGCTCGTTTTACGTTGTTTCCAGGCTTTGGGTAGCAGTAGCATATCGCTCATTTCAAACGCCTCTGTTGCTGACGTGGTTCCCCGAGCAGAGCGAGGCAGATACATGTTCTATTCCTCTCTCGGGATGACTATCGGCCCAGCAGTTGGACCAACTCTTGGAGGCATTCTGACGCAATATCTTGGATGGCGAAGTATATTCTGGTTCCTTTCTATCTCCTCAGGAGTCATGCTCTGTGTTATTATGCTATTCCTACGTGAGACTTGTCGAGCCATAGTGGGTAACGGCAGTGTGTCTCCCCAACCTTGGAACCGGTGTGCTCTGCAATTTCTTCCCCTGAAAAAGCAGCATGCCCCGGACTATGAGACACGGGTTGTCACCAGACGTCGACCTGGGATTCTTGCCACGTTAAGGATTCTACTAGACATCCATATTAGTCTTCTTGTCCTCTGCGGCGCACTCTGCTTCTGCGGGACCTCGGCGATCTTAAGCAGTCTCCCCGTTCTCTTAGAAAGGAAATATGGACTCAACCCTTTGCAAATTGGCCTGTGTTATCTCCCCTATACAGCTGGGGGCATCCTAACTCGCTGGAATGTTGGAACTGTGGTTGATCGGAATTTCAAGCGTCATGCGCGTAAAATCGGAGAGGAAGTTCGACCAAACCAGCAATCACAACGACAACTCCGGCGCATCCCGCTTGAAAAGGTTCGGTTGGAGTTAGCATTGCCGTTTTTATATCTTTCTTGCCTCTGTGTTATAGGCTATGGCTGGATCATGTATTATGACGTGCATCTTGCAGGCCCCCTGGTTTTGTTGTTTCTCTTTGGTAATGCAACAACCGGGGTCAACAACAGCATAACCACTCTGGCGATTGACCTTAATGCCTATCGTCCCGCCGCTACTATGGCCGCTATGAATACTGTCAAGCATCTAACGGCAGCAGGAGCCGTTGCGGCGGCAGTGCCATTGATTGATGCCATCGGCATTGGCTGGGTAGGAATCTTCCTCGCTGGTTTGTGGTTCCTTGTTTCGCCAGCTTTATGGATTCTATATTGGAATGGACAGCGTTGGAGACAGAAGGAGACTTCCCAGCAGGATTAAACGCTTCAAATCCACGAAGACAGCAACCTAAGAAAAGGTACAGTAGCCTCCGAGGGCTCAACCTCCGGTCATGATTTTAGATTGGAAGTTCCGAAGCAACCAACATATGCATATATTTCTGTCATCTTTTCAAAGTACCTTGATAGACTATAAAATATAGTTTGGGGCCTCACATCATGCCACCCCAATCCCACGCCTTTCGGGGAGTTTCTTCTGTCCCAAAGTCTGTATCACAAAACTCGACTCCAGCAGGCAACGGCGGTTCTTCCGGAAGAGAGAAATATTTCTCCTCCATCTTCCTTCTCAAAGGCTTGCCTGACGTGGTCTCTGGAACTTGCTCATGATTGTGCAAGGTTCGCAACAGCGTCGGGAGTTTATATCGTTGCAGCTTGTCTTGCAGATCGGCTCGGATTTGGGATAGGGCTACGGTGGTTTTTGGAGTCTGTGGGCGGATTACGGCAGCAATTTGACGCATGTAATTGAAGCTGGCTGGAACGACATAGGCTTCTGAAATGTATGGGAGCTCGATGAGACGGGCTTCGACTTCATGGACGGGTACTCGAAGACCACGATATGGTATGACTGCCCCCGGAAGTTGACTTTCGTTAGTAAATAAAGCGAGCCATGTACGGACGCAAGCAACGATATGAGAGGGTATACACGTACAGTCAGTAGAAGACCGGCCGTCGATCACATACTGATCCCCGACTAGATGCCCAAAATCACCGGATCTGTAGTATCCTTCCTCGTCGAGCGCGGCTCGAGTTGCTACTTCATTGCCGAGATAGCTTCGATTATCCATTAGTGTTCACTCTTCCTCTCTTTTGTTAACTACCAGGAAGGGTGAAGAAGGGAAAAGGGAGTGTTCCGCCTCACTGTGTAAACATGGTAGGGCTTTTCAGCAAGATTTCTCCATGGTCTCCTTCAGACAATTTGACTTGGACCCCACGACAAGGTTTTCCGATGCACCGCTGAGGAGATTATAGTCAGTAAGCGTTACATCCCTTTCCTCGCAACGTATCTATTTTACCTCTAAGTTCGGGTCAGAGTCCTCAGTCGTTTCAATAGCGGCAGTCACCTCAGTAGAGCTGTAAATGTTTCGCAACGGACGACCCAGCAGCTCTCTCCAAAACCCCATGACAGTAGGCCAAGTGACTCCCCCAGAAACAGTTACATTCTGTAGCGCCCGGACGCCCTTTACATACCGACCACGTTGCTCAACCGGAAGGCAATCTATCTGCTCCTGGAAGAATTTCATCAGCTGGGCATAAGTTCGCGGAGGAGCACTGAACCGGGACACGCGGCCTGTGGAAAACGATTCCCATATCGCACGCGGATCATTTTCGATAACCTCGGCGCGCGCCCCGGCCAAGACCTGCCATATCAGACGCATGGCTACACCGACCCAATGCGGAGACCGGAAAGCCAACACGACATGATTGTTAGGAAAGCGTGGCGGGCTAGTATACCAAACACGTCGGGGCCGCACCACGCCCTTGGGAGGGCCGGTCGTTCCGGACGTGAAGATGAGGACCCCAGGGCTTGTCGGGTCCAGCGTCATTGCAGGATTAATCCGGATCTGCGGCTTTGGCGCCGCCGGGGCATTGTTGACTGCAATCGGGATGATGGCGACAGGTGGCTGAGACTTGTGGCGCGCGGCATAATAATGCCCGATCTGGGCGCCCTGGGACTCGAACTGGGTTGAAACGAGCATGCATGATGCATTGGTAGTTTCCAGAAGATGGCAGGCCTCTTCTGGGGCTAACGTACTAGCTGATTTTGTTTACATCATACATGTTCAATAGTGTCCGATGCTTTCTTGCTTAGGGGTATGTTTTACTTACAGATGGGAGCAAAAGCCCCTCCACATGCGAGTGTAGCGAAGGCCGCCACGATGTAGTCATAGTTACCGGGAGCGAGGACGATTACGAATAGGTTTTCCTGGTTGATTCTCCGCTGGGAGTCAAACGACGATGCGGGCAATGCTTGGAAGATTTGGTGGCGCATGTGAAGTATATCTGTTAGGAGCTGGCTGCAGTCGGCTTCCACACCATTCTTGGGATCATGAACCAGAACATGGTGAGGATGGGTCGTAAAGGAGTGTAATAGATGATGAAATAAGGGCTCGTTAGGCAGCTGTTCGATAATTGGAGCCATGATGGATGGTTGGGTCAAGACAGCTGCTCAGTATCGGTGATGGTCGAAGGAATAAATGTCAACCAAGGATTTGACAGACCCTGAGTACGGCCATTTGAGTGACTAGTCAATTCCTCAATCAAGACAGGGCTTGTGATATCCTTCGACCTAAGTTCTCCTTGCAGATAAGCCTCGTCTATCATGCATTAAGCAGTATGGAATGTGAGTTCTGCATCTTGCACTGTACGTATCATAAACCCACTGAGCCCACTGTTGATCGACCAATACGATTAAACACTAACCATCTTTGAGGACATTGCATGGTTGTTACGTAAAAGAAAAGGAACTAATAGCTAATAACCACGTAGATCAATTACTGGGACATCAGTCTTCTGTATCGAATAAGAAATGCTGGCGAGCATGTCCTCAGCTGGATGTCCCATTCGGGCCAAACTCGTCCACAATCCACATACAGAACGCTTCGAACTGCGTCCTCCATTGGTGAAGACGAGTTGCATTCAACCCATTACCCTCACTTTCAGAGTTCTGCAGATGTGACCGCCAATCCTCTGAGGATAGGTCCTCGTAACAGCTCCATCGAATGGAATTCTGAGCCATGGCAGCCAAGCCCGCCAGCCCCATGTTCTCAAGCCCCTGCAAAGTCTGCCAGAATTCGACAGTCAGCCCATTCATCCCTTGCCCGAAGATCGCCGGATCATCGTTACATAGGCAAACTGAAACCCCCCTTGCCAGAAGCGCTGGCAGAGGATGCGTTTGGATCGAGCTGGTCAGGCGTAGGATCTCATTTGAGACGACGCAGCATTCGATCAAAATGTTCTTCTCCTTCACGATATCAATCAACAGCGGATGTTTGTAGAGAGAAAGCCCGTGGCCTATCCGGCGTGAATCCAGAAGGATCGCATCAAATAGATTGTGGTCGGTTGCATCTCCATCGCCCAGACATTCGCCTGCGTGGAAAAAGAACGGGATTTCGACCCTTTCTTCGCCACATCGTTGACGAAACCACAGCAGGACCGGGACGAGGTCAAGGAGGGCTCTCCGATCTTCTTGCCCCACAAGGTCGAACCCGCAGATGAGCTGGGGGAACTGCTGTTTGGCACGAATGCAGCGTTCCATCCTAGTCACTAACTCTTGTTCTGAAGAGATCCGGGGCGCTGTGTATATTATGCGAGCCCCGTAGAAGTTCGTACCTGCCTGGGTTTTTTGGAACGCCAGTATTTCCTCCCGCACAACCTCTAGTAGATATAAATGGTCCTCATCCGGTACATCTTGTGCTTCCCGCTGAAAAGGAATCGCTGACCCCATACGGAACTCTGCGTATTGGATACCATCATCAGCTAGCTCTCTAAATAGTCGGTGTAAAGCGCAGCGAAAAATGGGCTCGTAAAACGCCATGCTGATCAAAATGGGGAAGATCTGCTTGAACCGATCCCAAACAGCGTCCGCCTCATCATGGAGGTTGCCAGAAGGGTCAGCCCCGATAGTACATCTCTTTTTCACCCAAGAACGAAATCCTGCTTCACCACCGTGTGGAAATGAGTGTGCCGCAGAAGTGACTGGGATCAATGACCCAGACTCGTAGTCTGGGGCCCAGATTGGAGCTTTCCTCGTAGGGGCCTCGGAACAATACCGAAAGGAGAAGGGCTCCTTATCGAAATCTACCGGCGAGACTATAGCTCCCTCAGCGCATATATACATCCCCGGGGTAGCCAAGCACTGCGTAAGTAAGTGATCTACATCAAACATGGCCTCGAGATGGGCATGAAGAAGCGACCCTTTGGGCATCCGGCGCACTATCTTCCACAGATTTGTGGACTGTATTGGGCTCTTGACCGGATTGAACGGAGCTCCAACGCTCACATTCAAGTCATGCGTCAACTCTCGAACCCGGATGTCAGAGACAATATTGCATGCTTGTACGACTGTTGCGGACAGAGGACGCTGTAGGATATGGTAGTCTGATCTTGCTCGTCAGCTTTTGTCTAACTAGGTACGAAATGAACTTATGCCAGGGAACAGACCATGTCTTTGCTTTCTCTCCTGTTGAACCAATGCATTCCTTTGGATAACATACCGTCGGATAGCTGTGTCGTCGCACAGCATGGAATTTCTCTTCCCATTTACTTCCACTCCCATCTTGGCTTGCAGAGGAGCTATTCGCAGGACTTCAAGTTATGGATGACACAATGGCAACTGTGCAGGTTGGGTGAATAGTGTGGAAGAAAAGACACAGCCCTAGTTTAGCTGTACTGCATCTGGTGTGGGGGGCTTGAATTACCATTTATGTCTCTCTAAAAAGCGGATCACCCAATGTTTTCCTAGCTTTGTTCCAACGATTCCCTTTGCAAAATTTTCATAGAATATTACACATAGGAGAAAATCCTTTACTGAGAAAATACTGATCTATCTCATTTGCTCTTTGGATCAGTGGTTGTTGATTCGCTGATTTTTATACTGCTCTTCTTCGGAGCACTATATACCATGGCAGTGTCTTGGTAATGTATAAATGCCTATATTATGCTTTGTAGTAGTGTGGCTATAGATAGAATTGTCTTCTGCTTCAAAGCTGTCATAATTGAATTTACATTGACAGAGCTGTATTACTTTGAAAAATCTGATTAAAAGTCGGTGTATAATAAAAGTGATTCATAACTCACCATAAGGTTTGTAAGCAGAGAGATGCAAGGGAGAGGAAGCGGTATGATCGCAGCTCCATCTTTACAGTCACTAGAATTTTATTCTGGCCCAGGTAGCAAAGTCAGGCGAGTATAGGTGGTTGAGTTTTTGAAAAGATTACAACGTGTTGTTGCATGAGATGTGTCGGAATGTAAACGAATGCGCACGACAGAGATTAGAGGTAAAAATCGCCACAGCTGAGATCTTACGGTGAGTCTCAGACGAATAATTCTCCAATTCATCGCTAGGAATATGGTATCCAGGAAGAATTTTGTGGAGAACGCATACCTGGCGGAATCTGACATCATCCCCCGAATGCAATAGAATAATATTGAGATGATACCTCATATCTGCCACCCCTTGCATCCAGCTTGAGCAGCTAAGGAAACAGCGTCCTGCAGGGAGTCGTACTGGTGCTTCCCCTGTCCGGACGCCCTGGTATTTGCAGATCGGAATAAGCTTCCGCCCCAGGTTAGGGCAGATATAAGCTCTATGGCGTCAAATTTCTTCACGATTGCGAATTCATACAAATCCATCTTCATTGGTCTATTCCATATTTTTTTTTTTTCACTCTATCTGAAGAACTATGCAACCACACACCCCCCGTCGGTTTTACCTCATCACGTACCCGCGCACCGGGTCCAACCTTCTAGTTCGCATGCTAGGGCTGGCAAACCAGCCACACATGAGAGCCGGCGATGACCGCGGTGGATACATCTTTCTTCCCGTAGTCAAGCTGATCACGGACCTCGGTCTTCGCAAGAAAGAGGTGACAGATTGGACCGAAGAGGAGATCATGCAGGTGCGATGCAGCTACCAGGAATGCTTCGCTGAGTTCCAGGAATACTTGGACAAGGCTTCAGCGGATGGATGCTCGGTCTTTATCAAAGAACATGTTCATTTCCTCATTGACCCCACAACCCTCAGCCTGTTCACGTTTGGCAACTCCGCGGGAGACACCACGAGGCCGTCATGGATGGTGCAGTATCTTCCCGAGTCTTATGAAGGGAAGGCGTCCGGCACACGCTCCCCGCTAAACGAGACTGTCCTGTCAGACGAGTTTCTTCGGAGCTGGCAACCGACATTTCTCATTCGACACCCGGCGTTGGCATTCCCCTCGCTATACAGGGCTCTACTTGAGCTGGAAGGCACCGGCAACCCACACGAAGACGAACAGCTCGGACAGCATTGCATGACGCTACGCTGGACCCGGAATCTATACGGCTGGTATATGCGGGAGGGTAACTGTGTAGACGATCGTACTGCCTGGCCGATTGTGCTGGACGCAGACGACATCATGACGGACCCAGGGCTGGTGAGCGACTACTGTCAATTACTGGGAATGGACCCGTCTCGCGTGAGCTGCTCGTGGATGCCGGCTAGCAAGGAGCAGCGGTCTCACATGAACATGTTTACAAAGCGATACCTCAGTACATTACTGTCATCGGGGGGAATTGTCACTGACAAGATTGCAGGACGTGTTAATATTGAAATGGAGGCCGAGAAGTGGTGTGAGGAGTTTGGCGAGCGAGTTGGACGAAGACTTGAACGGTTAGTTCGGGAGGCAATGCCTGATTATGAGTTTCTGAAGGCTAGACGATGGAAGGCCGGGCGTCATGTCCAGAGGGATGCGCTCATGCCGGCTCTGATTTGATTCATCTGGCATGAAATATTGTGTCTACATGGGATCAGAATGGCTTCTAGCTAGAGATCATGGCGATTGCTGTTGATATGAATTTAAATAACCGGCGCTGCACTCAAAACATATGGAGGGAACAAGATCCATGATTTCTTCACATACTATGTTTCTAATAATTCATCATAATTTATAATAACTGACCCGAGAATCCATGGGTAGCAGAGAACCGTCACTATAACCAAAACTGCTCAAATACACACAAGGACTCCACTTTAATACCAAAATGCCGATCAAATCTAAAGCATGCAGTAGACACCGCTGTTTCTGCCCAGTAGATCCATCAATTGGTGTTTAGACAGACTAGCACTGCAGCCGCATAACCCTTCGAACCCTCCTCCGTACTGAGAGAGAGAGCGCTTATAAGTATGAAACCCCCCAGTCCCCCAACCCACTCCCAGCCTTAGGACCCCATTTCCCTCCCAATTCCTACAACAACCGGTACAAAGGATCAAAATGACAAGATCCACCCCTCAATCACGATTCTGTCTCCTTACCTACCCCCGAACAGGCTCCAATCTTCTCGTCAAGATCCTCAACCTCGACAACCAGCCCACCCTCGTCCCTTGCAAGGATGGAGGGTACTTCTTTGCGCGGCTCAGTCTTCTCCGCTACGACATGGGCTGTGCAGGGGCCCACATCAAGGACCTACGCGATGATCAACGCGCACAGGAAACTGCCTGCATTCAGGAGTGTCTCCAAGCGTTGACTCAGTACGTCCATGATGCGGAGAATCAAGACAAGGGGATATTCTTCAAGGAGCACACGCACATGCTCAGCAATCCAGTTGCAAAGTCCCAGTTTGTTTTTGGAGCAGATAGCATCGACGAGGCGGTTCTAGTATCGCAACGGGCGGAAGGTCAATCGCCATACAACGAGACCCTCCTTCCAGACAGGTTTCTCAATACACTGAGGCCGACCTTCTTGATCCGCCACCCGGCACTTGCCTTTCCCTCATACTACCGTGCGGCGCGCAAAGCCGATGGTGACGAGTATCTTCGTTCTGAGCAGGGGAGGCGAGTGTGTCGGAATATTATGACGCTGCGTTGGAGTCGCCAACTCTATAACTTCTACGTGCAGCACTTCAATGGAACCGAGACCTCCACTCGAAACGAGATCACGTGGCCTCTGATTTTGGATGCAGATGATATTATGACCAACCCGGCGGTGGTGATCCGGTTCTGCGAAAATTTGGGACTAGACACCACGCGACTGCGGTTCCAATGGGACAAGGACGAGCAGAAGAGACGGCCAGGCATTATGGCCTTTCGGTCGACGATCGATGGATCTACTGGGATTGACGTCTCTAAGGCCTCTGGGGAGAACATCGATCTTGATGAAAGTGCTAAGCAGTGGAGGGAGGAGTTTGGGGGGGATTCGGGGCAGGTGATTGAGATGTATGTGCGGGAGGCGATGGCTGATTATGAGTTCTTGAAGGAAAGAAGGTTGAGAGCATAAGATGTCATGGTTGTGAATATTATCAGGATCTTCTAGAACAGGGCATCAGTGTCGGTATCAGAGGCGCGATTCGTTACGTACACAGTATGAACCTCGCCGCATCTTACTAGATTTCAACGGCGTTGTGCTTATATCCGTAGAGATATTGTTCAGACCCACAAACCCAGCCTCAGATAACAGATATTAGGTTGTCCCAGCTGTGAAGTGATTCAAGACTTCTAGATTCTGATTAGACCATTTCTCGGAATAGGACTAGACTTGTACCACTTTTTACTCAGTTATTAGTTCCGGAGTATGAAGCTTGCCGGAAGTATTTCAAGTGTGTGCAATGCTTCAGAATGCACAAAGAGGAGAATGTGCATATAAACAGATCCGAATGTGACATGTACTCGTTGTTCAAAGCTATGAAAGACGACACTAAGAATCAACTATATTTCGATTCAAACATGGCCCACTTCTCCGTCCCCCGTGCTCGCAGTTAGGGTTAATTCACTTCGTAGTGTTAATATCGACGCCTTCGGCTTGAGCATGAAATGGAATGCATGAACAGCCGACATGAGTAGAGGGTGACTGTTCATATGCTCGGATGGCATTCTCGATGTCTCTCTCACAGCAGTCTCTTAAGCAGTGCGGTATCAAACAGACTGTTTTGTCTTGAATGGCGCAGACGAAAGAATCCCACCTAGTGATTGTTCGTGTACGAGATTGAAAGTATTTATGTGCCTTACCATACATATCCTTTTGCATGGTGCCCAGCAATGCCAGGGTTCTCGAGAGCAGTTTAGAGATAGCCATCTGAGGTCTGGCATCCAGAGTGTCCCGAAGATCTGTTCTGGTCACCACCACACTCTGACTGGCAATTTCTGGACTAACTTCTAGGTATAGAGGGACACCACTGATGATCCACCCATTATACTTTCAGGCAGGGGAGACCCTATCCTGCTATCAACCACGATGCGAATACCAACCGAGGAAAGATGAGAGACAGGACTCTCAACCTGAGCAAGAAGATTCTGGCCTTCTTCAAATGGACGAAGCCGCTGTGCAACAACAGCAAGGACCTGGGGTCTTCTACTACACGTGGAGGAATGATAACGCAACGGTTATCCCCATGCATTGTTATCATGGACCTGGTAGCTCGAGCAGAGAGAGATGACATGTGTTCTGCCACACGTGTCTGTCAACATATCCTCAACTGTAATATCATACAGGAGTCCTTGTTGACCCTTTGACCTAATTCTCGGCATTCCCGCATCTTCGACGGAATGGTTGATCCCAGGAATATACCCTACAACTATGCTGGTTTTCGGATCGTTAGGATGACAAGCTCTCTTGCTCTATAGCCCATTTACAACCGGGACAGATGCACAATCCTCAAAAGAGTCTATTAACTACTAGTAATAATGCTCCGCTTTGCGGAGTCTTGGGTATCTCTGAAAAAAGAAAAGAAAAGAAAAAAAAACCTAAAAAAAGACAAAAAAGGAACAAAAAAGAACAACAAAAGAACAACAAAAAAGTACAAAAAAAAGTACAAAAAA